ACTGTATATATGTAAACAGCGGTTTGATCAATGGAAAATATATCTTGCCTTCCGTATATTGCCTCTGTTGTTACAGCAGCACAGAACTGACGACTGTACAAGATTCATGTAGGTAAAAGACCAGTCGTCTGTTAACAGGTTCACATTATAAGTAAATGTAGTACCTGAATTTTTATTTATGCATTATGTTTTCTTATATGATATAAGAATCTTAAGTCATGATACGGCTTTAAATAGTGAAATTAATTAAAGTGAATACATTTATAATTATTTTGCAACTATCCGATCAAATCTTGATCACAGTTCATATGAAAAGTGAATACACATTGAAAGAATATCATATGTATTGCGATAAACATGAATATAAAAAATCCGATGCAATGCCGCCGTATAGCTTTAAGTTTCTGAGATTTTGAGATACAGACAACAACTAAGTTGTGATCATAATTAGCGTTTGATAGGAACTCAGTCTATGGGGAATGATTAAAACAGTCTTGAAGTTCAAAATGTCAGCTCCAGATATTAGTCAGATTCTTATTTGCTGTAAAATGAATGTGTTGGCGGTTAGACGGGATACAAGGAAGACAAAATATCAGTTGTATACTTAGCGACCTTTCTTGATAGACATCTGAGATTATTTTAAAATACCTTAAGTGTAGATTAGAAGGATGAAATAACATGAATAAAAAATTGTTTTTAAATAATAAGAATAAGAAATTAACCACTACTCAATCATCATCACTTTATCTAAGTGTACTATTAGGTTTTTACCTTCACGTTCCCAGCGGAACTTAGGGCTTCAAGCTACAGGTTTGAAGTTTCTGTAGCAGTGTTTATTTTACAGGGTGGAGTTGCTAGCCTCATGCCCAATCTTTCCTCTTTACCAGCATTATTTCTGGTTTAGCGAGTTAAAGGAATGCGTCGGCCGGGGAGTGAACCCCGGACCATGTGCATGGTCGGCGAGCGTCCTAACCACTGTGCCACCGACGCACACTATTAGGTTTAAATGCTATACATATATGATTTAAATGTATTAGAATCTTTTAAAAAATAGTGCAAAATGTTTAGCTACACTAAGTCCATCTTATCATTTCTTTCAAACTGTATTCATACTTCTTTCACTGGCTACAGCAGAATAGTCAAATATTCAATGTATGAAATTCAGCTATTACACATTTTGACCTTTATGGGATTTATTGAACAGTGCTTACTGAATAGTAGAAGATTAATTAGTTGCTCCATAAAGAAACACAAAAGATTGTGATGCTTAAAATTTATTGCATATCACTGTTCACATTTCGCTCTGGCCTTTTTATTGCTTTTTTGACGTGATTTCAAGTTTACTTTTAGTAACTTTTCTACTTACTGTTTAGACACAAAACATTTTAGCTTAGTTTCTCCTAATCTTCTACAGGTTAGCGTGTGTGATTTATTTCTCAGCTCCAAGAGGTGTTGTTAATTCAAGCCATAAAGGACAATCAAAAGTAAAATATATTGCATATAAATTCCACTTATTAAACTTCAAATGAAGAAACTTCTTTATCTCTTTTGTTTAAAAACCTATTTTGGCATTAATTTTTATTTTCTCTTCATGACGTAAGGACAGTGACTTAAATCAAAAAAGCAAGAAGTAACATAGACACCTAATTATTGAGTCAATACTGAAACCTGTGAATATTCCCTTATTCGTGTTATTGCAAACAAACAATCAGTGCCTGTTGATAGTTGGACACCTATCTATAACGTTGGGTAGTGCCTTTGATTTCATAGTGTTCTAATCTGGTAGATGTTGGATCGTAATGAGATAGCTAGCATAAAGTCGGGAAAAGAGGGAAGGCTGAGAGTTAGGCTAGCAACTGCAACTTCTGAAAACAACATCAAAAGCTTGAAGCACTGTATTCAACTCAGAAAAAATAGAATTGATGAAGAAAAACAAACTTGAATTAAAAAGCCATGGCAAGTGGAACAAAATAAAATCTTCAAAACTAAATGAACTTCAACTACTCTTAAGTTTGAATTTTAAGGATGTTGTTAATGAGTTACTGAGAAGTATAACTAAGTTGTAAGTGGGAGTATTATAATATCAATCAGTCATTTCGGACTAAAAAGAGGAAAGGAGCCACCACAACATCAGCTTAGCTAATAATAAGAGCGTAAACCGATAAGTAGTCTGAATGTGGCCCGGGAAGAATTATCCCGATGTAGCCAGACAGCTTTTAGACTCAGACTAGAATGAAGTCTTCATCCTGTGATAGATTCTTGAACACAGTCATATTTATTGTCAGCTAAAACTTGTGGTATTTCTTGACGTGAAAACTGCATTGGACTCTGTGGATCAAGTACTTTTATGGTGATGGCTAACTAATGACGAAATTTCTAAGGAGTACATTATGCTAATTAAGACAGTCTATCGAAAATAGGATAGATAGCTGTTGTCTATACGAACGACAGTTAGTGACTATCCTCGAAGTTAATAAGTAGCAGCATTAGTCTTTCAGAGTAGTTCTGATAATGAATGCTGTTTTCGAATGGGTATAGGTGATGTATACGTCGGATACCACAAAAAATTCAAAATCTTTAATATGCCTAATAATGTACTTGTGTATATTTTATTACGTCTAGCACAAACTATCTGTTTAGTTCCTGAAGCACTTTTAGTTTTCCTTAGCAGAATGTGTGCGTATTTTCTATAATGTAACCTGAGATTAGGAATGACTGATTTTTTTACGAAAGACTGAAAATTAATTAAAGGATTATTTATAACAAGGGGATCGACAGAAATTATGTTCACTGAAATGTGATTTATTTGATGCTCACAAACCATGATTATTCAGTATGAGAGAAGATATGTTTTACTCGCATATTGGATATGAACCTGATTATTTGGTGTGAGGTGAAACACCACATATTTATATACATTCTTGTATGTACAAAACATCTTCACTTTTGTTCTATGTATACATGTTTGTGCAAATATTTCGTCCTTAATATGACCTTAGAACTTCAGTTTACCACACACTTAGAGTAGTGTGGAATATTTATTTAACGAGTGTGAGTGTTTATTGCTTATGGTTTATACAAGGTGTAACACAGCGCTATACTCAGCTAAGCACATTTCTAACTGTGTACTAATGAATATTTAATTTTCAGTATTTCATCATGAACTGACATGGGTTAGAGAACTATTGGAAAGCCTGATAGTGCCAGACAGTTGTTTCATCCTAGTTTGGAGATTATAGACAGTACGCACCCCCTGGGGGCTAGAGCCCAGGATATGCCGGTTACAAGACAAGCTCGTATACATTTCAGCCACCGGGATCCAATTCAATGACCCATGAATTATAACTTCTACCACCAAACTATGTCATCGGTGGAAAATCCATCCCCACACTTGACTGGATGCACCTCACCGGTCACGACTTTTCAACGGAACTCCAAGGAACTCCATTTGGGGGCTGGTCCCTCCAAACGGGTCAGAAACTTGCACTGCGTGTCACAAAAATCATTTCCAGTAGGTTTCAGGCTGTCATCAACAGCTGCCTCCGGTCCATGCTGAAGATCAAATGATCAGAAGGAATGAGTAACAAGAAACTCTGGAGGTGAATAAACCAACCAAGAACTGATCGCTCAACAGATTTGTTGTAGAAAATGGAGATGGATCGGGCATACATTGAGTAGGCCGTCGAATGACATTGCACGCCAGACCCTCGAGTGGAATCCAATTGGGAAGCGACGAATGGGTCGTCGATGTGAGGGTGACATGGAGATGATTGTGCGAGGAAGAGATGAGTGAGTTTGGGCGATCGCGGACACAGCTGAAGAGGATGTCAGAAAACAGAACAAAGTGGAGATGTGTTGTTGAAGCCCTATATTCCACTGGGAACCCGGGGGAACAGTAATAAAAAAAGAGGACCAGTGAAAACAAGGGAGTAATGGACAGCTATTTCCGTTGTCTTAGTTCGAGACTCTTCAACAGTACGCATCCACTGGGGTAGGAAACTACAACCATCTGGTTACAGAGAGAGCTCACTGATCATTAAGCCACTGGAACCGTATCTAATGAAACATGAATTCTAACAGCACGACCCCTAACGGATGTCATCGGGGAGTATTTGTCCTATCACCTAACCAGTGTCCAGTGGGTCGCAGCAGGTCGGGTAGTGGTCGCACTTTGTTGCGAATTAGCAGAAGTTGGAATTCATGGTTCATTAAATACTGTCTCAGTGGCTTAATGACCAACGAGCTCTCTTTGTAACCAGATGGTCGTAGTTTTCTACCCCAGTGAGTGCGTACTGTCTGTGATCTCCAACTAGGATAAAACAACTGTCTGGCACTCTCAGGCTTTCCAATAGTTCTCTAACCCATGTCAGTTCATGATGAAATACTGAAACCAATCAAACCCATGCAAACCAACACCTGAATATTTAAGTGTCAAATGAGCTAAGTAGTGTTATCATTTCATTTCAGGATGACAACTGATATGCAGAGGCATAAAGGTGAATGCTGGCTTAACAAGATTTAATGAATAGCTTCTATATTATGCTGACAATGCCTTTTAACAGGATGAATCGACAACCATGCATGATAAGCATATTTTATCTGAATCTTAACACCCCCCGAACTTACATTATGAATTTAAATAGAGTCTATCAACATAACATGGCTGATGAAGCACACGATAATCAATGCTAGTATCTTAACTATACACTATTGGCTTTCTGGTATGATCCAATCATATGGGCAAATAATTTAAACTTCTCTCCGATTGGTTACACTATTAGGCCAATCGTTAAATAAAGCTTTCTATTTGCCCAGTTAATTTTATCTCAAGTATAAAACATAGAGAAAAGTTGCTAAGTCATTTGCATATAATGCCTTTTCACTGTGTTTGTCTGTCCACGTATTTGATAGTGTTCTATCTAAAATGAACAAGACATATGACACTTTCACACTGCAATACATCATGTGATTCTTAAAATTAGAACTTGTAAAATACGGTGATGAATGATAAGAAAGTACCCCAGTTTTTCATCCCAGCATCCTATAAAGGACATCAAACAAGTCCAACATCTGTTCCCTCTGCCAATATTCGTCCTCAAAGTCCCTCCAGTACTACTTATACAAACCGTCAAAGAATCCCTGCTAGTCAGACTTCAAATGAAATTCGTCCACCTTCATCTACAGCAAGTGGGACGACATTCGCCAATGGAAAGGCAAGTGAGGTGAAGAATTCATTATTATATCCTTCGCCTACTGGTACATTGGACTTATCTCATTACAATTTTGTACCAGCACAAACCAACAATAAAGATTCAAAATCAAATAGACCAAATGGTGGTTTATCAAGTCGAACACTAGTTGCAAACAACAGACTGAGTAATACACCTGACAATACCGATGGCAACAATAATGCAGAATTTGTAGATTCGGCACAGTTGAACGGAGGAAATGGTGGAAAAGAGAAGAAACGAAGACGTTTCAGACGACCACGTAAAAATAGCAAACTTGATAGACTTATACGGTTCCTTGAAGATAAACGAGTCAAGGATGATGGAAATGGAGAAGAGCTGGAAGATTTACAGATGCCAAGATTGAGAAAAGTGCTAAACATCATATTTGTCACGTTGGGTGTATCTTTTTTGCTGGCTGTTATCATTGTGATACTGTATACTACAATTGCTGGGTAAGTTATTTCTTTTATGTGTCAACATTGTGTGGATTTGTATTTTTTCATATCCTTCTGTGAAAACTACTTTTTTCACAGTTTTCTATCTCCGGCTGCTTTGATGGCTTTCAACGTGGTCTTCAAGGTGCTCTGAATTAAATGGTGATGAGAATCTGCACTTGGTGCTCTTCTAAAACTTTTGTGTAGCAGGCTGCACCCCCACTTTCTTGAGGTTGAAATGAGTTCTATCTGATGCAACCCCTTTTCGCCTAGTGTTTGTGTGTTTATTTTTACACACTGTATCCAATAATCACATGACTGAAGCCATAGCACTTGAGGAGAAGTCTTAGTTCTTATAGATCTCTCGAAAGGCCCTTGACCTAATTCCTGTTGTTTTCCTACTTTGTTTGCTCTGAGTTTGTGACTCACCACTCACTGGAATTTCGATATCATCAATTGGGATCTTGTCCATTTCCGCTTGCGGTTATCTGTAAAATTCTTCCTTCTCTTCTTGATCTGTATTGCTTGAAAGATCGTGGCACAGCAAAACGTGAAGAATAGGTGGCTCTAAGGCCAGAAAAAAGGTGTATTGATCATATCTTCACCCATCGAAAGATCCTGGAACATAAGCATACGGACATCCAACACAATATATTTCTTTATTCGAAGGTGGTACTTGACTCTGCCGGTCGAAAGTTGATCTGAAAATGTATGCCGTCGAAAGTGTGTCACACTTATCAAACCCTTCTACTTGAAGTCACGCAGCGATGTAGAGGCTTATCGAGAGGCGTCATTTCAAGTAAAAGCAAGCAGTAGTGTTAGTTAATGATGCCAACTGTTTCCATTTTAGCTTAATTTCACCACAGGTGTGACTCTAACTGAATTTAGTGACTTAGGAATTGACTTATTACGAGGGAACAGTTCCGTCAACTTCTAGTATGCAGATGACACTATCTTTCCAGATGATGACGGTAACAAAACGGAGAGTCTTGAACAGAAAGAAATCTCATTATGTTTGGCATGATATTTGCGCTTGTAAAATGTGAGATTGTGCTGCAGGACTGGACTACACTGAAGGCTAGTTTAAAGATACAGAGTGAAGTAACTGGGTGTGTCGACTACTTCATTTATGTGGGAAGTTGTATCAGATTTAGTGGAACAGGGGTACAAAATCTGATGTGGGATTCGCCATGTCACTTAGTCTCTAGCATAGACGTGATATCCGGCTGTCGATAAAAGGACGTGTATATCACACAGCAGTTCTCTCTGTCCTTATTTACGTTTGTGAGACATGATCATTGAAACTGGAAGACCTGAAAAGGCTTGTCATCTTTACCTACAGATACCTGAGTTCTATATTCTATCTTAAGTGATATAGTATGGTAAGTGATAATGAGGTTAGAGGTTGTGTGCTAGTTAAGGAAGGGAAGTTATTTGATGAGTTTGTGAAACTGCATCGACTGAGATGAATATGATTTGTGATACGTGTATCAAGCCACCACCTTCCTCGCTGAGAAGTGCTTACCGACATAGGATTGTGTTTGAAAAGTGTTAGTGTTGCTGAAACCAAAACCTTGCATTAGTGTGTAAAGTCTCAGAGTGTTGGTTCAAACAAGGTGCGTAGTGATGTGTAGAGTGCGTGGTTGTTGCCCTCAGGCTGCTAAGAAACAATAGGTGGAGACCATTTTTACTATGGCTTAAATTGTTTTCAGTAGTGCAGTTGCATTCACTCTTTGTAGTCCCCCTGATGCATTAAGTTCATATGTTTTCACGTCGCCACTGTTTCTCCCTTAGTTTTCTGCTCGTTATGGTTCCCTTGATATCAACATTAGCGACTGTACTTCCGTGCAAACTTCTGCTTTGAGACTCAGTCTGTCTGTTATCCAACATATAGAAAAGTTGCAATAATGAACTAAAATATGTTTGCTATAACGTTTAGCCTTTTAATCTATGGCTGTGTTAAACAATTTGTGCATTCATCTTGTGTATTTCATCCTGAATAGTTTGAGGTGAGGCGTTTTAGCAAACGGTACTGCATCCTTTTGTCTTCCAGATGATGTAGATGACCATACTGAAACACATCTCTTTCGTATCTACAAGCCGTTTCGGGATAACTGAATAAAACTGTGAACTATCAGGAAATCCCTTATGTGACGTCGAAACTCATTCATTCAGCCCCTCAAGTATTCTGTATCGTGCTATTACCAACCTATAACCTGAAGAAAAATAGTAACAGCCACCATGAGATTCTTCTGATCGACCATTTTCACTTATAACTATCTTCAGTTGGTAAAACGTAATGAAAATTAGAACACGGAAACTTTACAGACGCATGAAAAAAGGTGCATATGAATCCGGGACGGCAGGATGCATTCCAGATTTTAGGGGCAGTCAAAGAATCCAGTGAATCTTCAGAATAATCTAGGTGAATAAGGCGCGCTGTACTTCTCTGCTTGACTTCCTTCTTAATTAGAAGTACACAGAACATTTTACTCAACAGAGTGTGCTTCCAAAGTATATAATTGTAACTCCACCTTACTGGATAAATTCAAATTACTACTGAATTTTGAACCGCTTAGCAATCAGTATTAGGAGGATGATCTGGTGTCGATGTTCCTTCTTTCTCGAATTATTTTTCATAACAAGTGGAGCACATGGTTCTAAGGTTCAGCTATGAAGTTTCAGTACCGGTGGTATCGCTTTTATGGAGTGAGCCTGTTGGCCTCATTCCTGGTCTGCCATATTTTAAATTCTTATTATCAGCTAGTCAACTAGGCGGGGTTTAGTAGTGTGTAATCCAGGGATCGAATCCACACCATTCATGTGGTTGCCGAGGAATCTACCATTGAGCCACTGACAAATAATATGTTAATAATAATATTTGTTGTTTAGTTAATGTAATTGTTTACAGTGCTAGTCAACATGCACCTACTAGCTTCGTTCACAAAATTCCACTTCCTCTGGCTAGTTTACTTTCTGTAATTTTTTGGTGAATAGATAATACAAGATATGAACATTTTCCAGCCATTATTTTGTAGATGCTTATAGGTTGTGTTTATTTATTTGTCTGAAAACATTTGACTTCACATTTTAAAGTTGTCTGCTTAATACTATCAACTGCTACATATATGATTGAGAAACAAGTAGAGACAGACAGTCACAATGATTTTGATGCATGTATCAATTTATCTGCAAATACCTTGTTTCTAGGTGAATTGTTAACAAGGGGATTAAACATGCCAACAACATCAGTAGCATGTCCATCTGCTAACTGACTCCTCCTTCCATCTAACGTTACTTTAAGGGGTATCCTTTCCCTTTCATACTTGGCGCAAAGTTCTTGACCAGTGCTCCTGGTATTAGACGCCTACATGGGTATCCGCGCAGCCACCACATTATGCCACAAATTTAAGTCATGGCTAGTTTCAATGAGGATGTAGTTTGGAAATTCTTGATAATATTATCATTTTCTTAGGTATTTCGTCCCGAAAAATAAGTCTTTTTTTCAAGTATTGATTTTGTAAGGATTTTGTGTGATTGCATGGAGGATTTCATCATGAGCTGGCATCAGTTACAGAACCACTGGAAAACCTGGAAAAACTGAACAGCTGTTTCGTCCTGGTTTAAACTCTTCATCAGTACGCACCCACCGCGATTCGAACCCAGGACCTTCTGGTTACAGGGGGAGCTCGTAGACCATTGAGCCACTGGGACGCGATCCAATAGTTCTTGAATTCTAACTACTGCCAATTCGTGACATAGCGCGACCATTTCGCAACGTCTTCTTCGATGAGTTACTGCCCCATCTTCAACCTGCTGTACCCTACTGGTCATGGCTTTCCACTAGAACCCCAGGTTAACTGCCTGAATAAGGCCACTCGCTAGTGAGCATTATCAACAGCCATATGAGATAGAACTTAAATATCTTTTCAGCAACTGAAATAACCAAAAATAGGGAACAGCGAAACGCTGAAAGAACGCATTCATTCATGTGTATGCTCGTGGCTTACTAAGATTTTTCAGAGTAAGCTACGTGTAGAATTTAAGATTGAATACACACTGAAAGTGCGTTACATTACCCTTACAATTACCTGTCAAAGTACCAATGCGAATACTTCATAACAAAACAAGATAAATATTGCTGCTGAAAAAAGCGCAAATTTTTCGTAGATGTAGACATTTTACCAGAGGAGGATTGTTGTTTATTAGCTGAAAACTGTGTGTAATTAGCCCAACACAAAACCCATTTGCAGTGTCACATCTTTCAGTTAGATAAGTGTGTGAAATATGAGATGACAGTTTCTACTTTTAATGCGGTAATTTTGAGGGAAAGCGAATTATTTATTGATCACATTGTTAATTAATACTGATACTCGTTGCATAAGAGGTGACTGTAGTCGCCTAGTAGTGTCCTGATACATAAAGCTAAAGTCTTGCATTTTGGAAGCATCAGTGTAAAGTTAAACTATTTACGATGACGATTTTTATGTATCCCTCCACATTACATCTAAACTGAACCAAAGTGTAATAGAAAAGATTTGTAGCTCAGGTGACTGTGAACCAAAGTGTGTTAAAATTGTAGAAAAATTAATAAATTTTATCATTCAGCTTGTACACAGGATCGATTTCATCCTGCGCCTGCTATATTAAGAAGTTCCAGTTGATATAACTAATAGTTGAAGATAGTGAATGCAGCCAAGTTTGAAATGCATTCTCCAATACGTGGTGTGCTGTACAGTATGAGGGTCACCTCTACCTACTAGTGATTATCGATGGCAGCGTCCGATAGTCTAACCGGCGCTTACCGTGGATATGAAGCATACTGTGTTTTTGGGGCTTTACACCCTCTGATAACTGCAAAATTGTTGGTGACAGGAATAAGCGACTTATTTGGAGATGTTAGTTTTTGCCATCTTGGATATAGACAAACAGCTACGAATATCCTAGCCCACTTCCCAAAGTCATGTCACCATGGTAATACTGGATTTTGGTTTGTTTCATCCCTCCTCCCTTCTTTT